GACACATAATGGAATTGCCACTTGAATGTTTTTCCAGGCTTTCAAGGAGTGTAAGAATGGCCTAAGGCTAAATTACTTTCACATCTTTAGTGAGTCATTATATTACTGACAATAAAGTATGTTATAACTTTAAGATGCCCTCACATATTTTTTAAAAGCAGAAAGGAGACATATTATGATCACCATTCTTAAGAGACTTAATGAGAAAACATTAATTTAATCTCTCGGTTACTTAAAAATAACTGTTGCTCACCCACTATGTGCCAGGCTGTATACCAGGCACCAATATGAAAAGGTGACTATTCGCCACTTTCTCTAAGCACAGCCTGATGGAGGAGACAGACAGAATGTAGCAACGGCCAGAAGGGGGAGCAGTTAATGAACAAGTAAGCAGTGAGTATGGAGGGGATTCTGTGAGAGAAAATAGTACAAAGAGTGAGTTGCACATCCCTGATATTTTGGGCAATTGCAAATAGTCTGATGAGCAAAACACAAGGAGAAGTGACAGCAAGTATGGAAAATGTAGGTGGGTGTCAGATTGTAAAAAGCCTTGAGGACTGTGCTAAATGGTTTGATCTGTGAATCAGGAAGGGGACTTGACTCAGGTCTCTTGACTCGGCTAGATTGCATTTGTCCTTCCAAACGCTAATGGACACCACACTGAATTTGATCAAATATCTCTCAATGGAAATATGTAAATTGCCTATAAGAAGCAATTGGTAGGTTCTCTTACTATCATCTCCCTCTCACAGATAAGGAAACTGAATTATAAAGAACTTGAGTAACTTGTCCAAGGTCACATACCTAGTTAGGTGATCCCAGGCAATCTGGCTCCAGAGTCTCTAGTCCTAACTACAACATGTTAGCCTCTCTCTATCTAGAGGCCTTTATGCATTTGTCTGCATTCTACTGGTGCTGTCATTGGCGAGTAAAGATTGCCCCCCAGAATAGGTTAGATATTGCTCAGTCTGAAACTGAAAGATTAATATCTGTGATAACAGAGGTCTTGGGGTCAAGGAGTCAAGGGAATTCATCCTATCATGTCTTCAAATACCCTTTTCTTTACCAATTAATGGCAATTTGATACCAGGTATCTGGAACCAAGCAGCCTCACCCTGTTAAGGGTAAGAAAAGAGTACTAAAAGTATCTCCAAAAATATTAAAGGATTTGACTGAGACCTCTGAGATGCTCCAGAGATTGCAATTGTGCTAACTACCCAAGTTAATGGCTGTCAATCCAAGAGAGTTATTATGTGCCTGGTAAATATTGGTTGCTTGGTTTTGTTTAAGTCTTCATGGAGAAAATGGAAAAGACATTGGAGTGTCTGTCTGAAGCCAGAGCAGGACAGACAGGTCCTGCAAGTGTTTCTTTAGATGCGTGATATTTATAACATCCAAACAGGCCTTAAGGCTGTCTTCTTACTTTACACTTATGAAAGGAGTAAGATATTTTCCTTGGACACACAAATAATAAATGTACTCTCACAACATCACTTGAACATTGTGGTTTTATAAATATACTGTTTTAAATAGCTGTAGCCCTCAAATTCCTTACTAGAGATCAATATTTGTTGGAATTTCAACATCAAAGATTTATTGTGTGGGAAGAGGAAGAGGAGGAGTTACTCCGAAGGCTAGAACCAGGGTCTATACCAAACTAACAACTCTGCATGCCTTATTACTTTTAATCTTCATAATTTTGAGTCCTGTCTTTATTGTCACCATGTAATGAAGAAGCTAGGGTTCAGGGGGCTTAGGTGACATGCCCAAAGTTACACAGCTTGGTAGAGGCAGAATTTGCCACCGAACCTGTGTGTTAAGCCAAAGAATTTGCTAGTGCCATGCAGTTAAAAATTGGAAGGAAAAAGCAGAGCCTTATGAATAGAGTCCTGAGGAAGAAGGATGAACAACCTGCAGATGAAGTACTCAGTAAAGGAAAGATCTGGGTTTGAATTCTAAACCTGCTTCCATTCATCTGTGTGATCTTGGGCAAATCTGTTAACTTTTTAAACCATTGGATATTTATAAAATGGGACTGGTGCTATTTGGTCTGATATCTTACAGGGGAGGGTACAGCCAGGCCAGGAGTATCTAGGGTCTCTCTGACCTGGAAAGCCCTATGTAAAGACATGGCACCATTCTTAGTGTTAGAGTTGAAACTACATCCCTAGTGTCCTGACACCTCACAGCAATACCCAGAAACCCTGGGCTCTTCCTTTAATCCCATATTCCTTCCTCAGCTGCCGGGACAGCTTGGTTAAGAAAAGCCTTGTTCTTGGAGAAAGAGAGATAGATGTCCATGAAATTATCTCTATTTCCTTGCAGTTTCACATTAAATGAAATTAGGGTGCCCTTTACAAAGAATATATATTTAAAAGCCCTCCCACTGGCTGCTGGGCAAAGCAACTGTCAGTCAACAACCCAAGTTGATTGAGTCTCTGCCCTCAGAGTTTTTATATTCTGAGAATGACTAGCTTCCTTCTCTCATCCTAGAGCAAGCATGGCTTTCAGAGGGCAGGTTCTGGGGCAGCGCGAATTAATAGAATTGATTTGCTTTTGTGCCCAAAGTCACGACTATCAGGACAGCTGCCATTTACCAACTACCTCCTTGATACTTGGTGTATAGGACAGGCATGTTAACTATATTATTTCCAAACCACCGAAGTCTGTACAGTATTTTTTTTTAGGTGAACATTTTATTTATTAAAGTTGACTCAAAAGAGATAGAGATCTAAGTAGCACTTCTCCATCCTGGCTGCACATTAAAATTATGGAAGGAGGAGGAGTTTGGTTTAAAAATAAAACCTTAACCAAACTAAACTAATTTATGCACATACCCCCAGATAGTCTCATTTAACTGTTACGTTGAGCATGAACATAAGCATTTTTGAAAGAAATCTCTAAGGGACTGTAATATGCCCCAAAACTTAAGATGATTTCTATGAGAAATTTCTTTAAAAAATTGAAAAAGCTGTCTAAGAGCTTTATCCTAAAAAGCACCAGGCCCACTGATACAAATTCCTTTCACAATGCAACTCCCATAGTGGATGTGATCTCTTTATTATTATTATTATTATTATACTTTAGGTTCTGGTACATGTGCAGGTCATGCAGAATTGTTGCATAGGTACATACATGGCAAGGTGGTTTGCCGCCTCCATCCCTCCATTGCACAGTATTTTTATCCCCGGTTTACAAAGGAAGAAAGTGAGGCTCTGTGAGACATGCCAGAAAGAACATGCTCTAAACAGCCAGCTCATTCCAAAGTGCTACTTTGTCCAGCTCTACCCCTTTACTCTTGGCAATCATCAGAGCCACTCAAGACTTGGAGGATCATGCTGGCAAAATAAGAAAACTTGTATTTTCTAAAACTCACACCCATACTTTGGAGGGGACAAGACTGAGATCAACCCCAATTCCCATTCTTTTCTTTGTGACAGTTAATCAGAGGATTTTTTTTTCTTATCAGTCCTGAGTTTCTATTTAGTTGTGATAATAAATACATTTTTTGAATTTTTGATACCTTGGGGTAAAATTTGGAATCTATGGAGGAAAAGAGAGCAACAAAACGTTATGGAAATTAAAATATATAGACCATGAATTTTCTCTCTCCTCTACAGATTTACAATCACGTTATCTGGGGATATCAAGTAGGTTATGTTGTTACTGTAGTACTCATTTAATAATCAGATTTTATTTAGAGAACTATAAAAGATAACACATAAGGGGGAAACATTTTAGATGATAGATTTTTTTTTTCCAATTTCCAATTTTTGAAGAAAGATGTGTTTTTAAAAACTTTTAGGCCAGGTGCAGTGGCTCACGCTTGTAATCCCAGCACTTTGGGAGGCCAAGTTGGGCAGATCACAAGATTAGGATTTCAAGACCAGCCTGGCCAACATGGTGAAACTCCGTCTCTACTAAAAATACAAAAATTAGCCGGGCCTGGGGGCAGGCACCTGTAATCCCAGCTACTTGGGAGGCTGATGCAGGAGAATTGCTGGAACGTGGAAGGTGGAGGTTGTAATGAGCCGAGATCACACCACTGCACTCCAGCCTGGGTGACAGAGTAAGACTTCATCTCAAAAAATAAAAAACTTTTAAGGAATTTCTCCCACATTTCACTCCCTTTAAGGTAAATTGATAGCTGTGAAAATGACACCTTGGAAGCATTTCTGTCACAATCATAAGAGATAGTGAGAATTATCGATATTCTTAGCCATACAGCACCATAAAGTAGATCACAGCCGTTTCTTTCAGAAAATGGCATTTGGTTTTCGATCAGATGTATTGTCTGCCTCACAATCTAACTGCTTTCACATCTGGAATATCTTAACTGAAAATGTCCACAGCATTGCACAGCCTGGCTCAGAGGGAGAAAAGAACTAGGGTACACGTCGAATTCTGTCTCTCACTCAGCTGATCTGCATTTCTCCTATAGTATTTCCTTATGCTTAAGAAGACCTCGTAGATTTGGGAACTGCTTGAGCCTCTGTAATCTTCTGCTGAAGTTGAGAAGCTCAGAGCTGCATTTCTATGCATTTTTCCTTGTCTTTCCTGCTTTGGAGGAGAAGCCCTGCAACAGCTTCCTGCCAAGGGACCCTGCTTTCTCAGCAGCCAGCTCCGGAGAGCCAGAAATCCATCTTCAGCTCATTTGAACTTGGCTGTTGTTAATCATGCTGCGGTTGTGCTGTAGTTGTCCTTTAAGAGCAAAGGCTTCACGGAGAGCAGATCAGCTGGCTCTGGGGAGGGTTTCAGCTTCTTGTTGTAGGTGGATCATCATCTAACAGCTTACTGAGAGAGAGTTGAGGACATGTGGCTAAAACACTGTCAGAGCTGCTGTGAACGCGATCCGAGTGACCAATTTTATGACCCAAACCAGGCAGACATTAAGTATTTTCTAGTGGTGAAGGAGCAGAGAGAAAAAGAGAGAACAAAGACATACATATTGGTGGAAACCAATATGTATGTGTGTGTGTATATATATATATATATATATATTTATTCCAGCAGCTAACATACTTTTCTGTTTAGAGGACTGGTATCTCCTATTTAACCACAAATTGCAAAACATAAGATCAAATAAGATTAAATGTCCGGTTTGCTAAATAGCAGAGCAAGGAAACAAAGGTCAGGAATTCAGACTCTTACATCTGAGGAAAGAGAGAGGCAAAGAGATGACATTGGAAATGCCAATGTCCTTTCAATGAAATAGAAAAAGGCTGCTGTAGGCATCCTCAGAACCTCACCTTTTGTCCAGTGCCACGGAACCACGGAAGGCGCTCTGCTTCTCTAGGAACTGGGGGAATGCTCCGTAGAGTCAAGGGCAAGTTATAATAAAGTGCTCCATTTGTTTACTTTGGCAAGCGGAAGATGACTTTACTAAGTGATACTCTGCTGGGGCCAAAACCACTGGAGTAGGAAAAGGGGGCCCTTCCTGGGGAGAGGCTTCTCAATCTTCCTGCCCTCAGCATTGCACTCGGAGCGGCCCTGAGATGTCAACAAAAGGATGATGAACTGAGTCAGCAGTGTTAGCAACTGGCTGAAGTAGAACGGAGCTGCCCAGAATGCTGCCCTGTCACTGGGGAATCTCGGGGAGGCTGAAAGATACTGTTACAGGGATTGAAGGGCTGGGCTGGCTGGAGGAACGATGCCATCGGCATCTATGTGGCAATACTCCAGGACTGCTCTGCCTTTGTCAGGGCAGGCATCACAGGTGGTTTTCCCTCTAACTAGGGTGGGCGTTGCTCCTTGAGCTTGCCAGTCTCACCTCTCCTCATGCCATTGCATGTCCAAGGCGTGCCCTCAGGGGACAGTGCTGATCCAGGGTGGCAAACCCAAGTGGGGAGAAAACCCTGAACCGCATCCTCTCAGAGCTCTGCTGCAGTCGTGACTGTACTGAGGTGCATGCTCTGAGCAGCAGTCACTGCTGGGGGTGCTTCCCGGCTGGAGTGGGTCTCAGCCATAACCTGAGGGTCCTCTCTTGGGGATGCTGCCAGTTAATTGGCTCATCTTCAGCCTCTGCCCAAACTTAGGCCTGTAGGTCCATCAATTACTATATCAGCCTCAAGGACTAAACAGGTGGGAGGAAGGACTAGCGTGAGTGATGGAAGCAGCGGAGCTGAGGAATGTGCTGGCACTTGTAAAAACCCAGCAAGAGTGACATCTGGCTGAATCTCGGTCATTCACCTGAGCATCAATCAGGGGTTACTCCCAGATCTGAGCAATAAGGGAAACTTCCCATGGCGGGGAAGCCCGCACTTGGGTAGACCTAGGGGAGCCGCCAGAAAGAAAGGAATTGGCCCTGTAGTTGATTAAGGTTCATAGAAAGAAAAACAAAAGCAGAAAATGATCATAGTTTCAGGCACTCCCAATGAGCCTGTGACCTCCCCCGAATCCTATAGCCAAATACGTGGGTGGCGCTGGCCTCACTTTCCCATTCTCCCACTTGTGACTTTTGATTCCACATCATGGCTAAGATCCTTGGCAAACTGGGTTAAACCTTGGATTTAAAAATTAAAATAAAATAAAATGAAAAACAGTTGGGGACGGGAAAATGGTTTCCAAGAATCTACACTTCTCTGCCCTGAAATGGAGTGAATATTGTGCTCCCCTCAAAATTCACATATTAAAATCCTAACCCCCAATATAATGGAGCCTTTGGGAGGCTTCATGAATGAGATTAGTGCCTTACAAAAGGGGTCCCAGAGAGCTCTCTCACCTTTTTCCACCATGTGAGCTTACAACAGGAAGTCAGCAGTGTGCAAACCAGAAGAAAGCCCCAACCAGAACCTGACCATGCTGCCACCCTGACCTCAGAATTCCAGCCTCCAAAACTGTGAGAAGTGTTATGTGGTTTATAAGGCACCTAGTCTAAAGCACTTTATTATAGCACTGACCTGATTAAAAGACACTCCTGAGGCCCATTCCTTCGGGAAAGGTCTTGATTAGCCTTCACCTGGCCCAGTTTGCAAACACACTGATGTGTGCTTCCCATAGCAATCTTCACATTGCAGCCTGGGAGACAGAGAAGGGGATTCCAGCCGGAGCAATCTTCCCAAACAGGCAGTTCCTACTAGCCAAGCTTCTTGTCCTACTTTTGCTCATTGAAGGTCCCAGCCTGTCCCCTGCCTAATCCCCTGGCTGATGGCCTCAGGCTTTGGAGAATTCCTTTAAGAATCCCAGTTGGCCTTATGGATCCCAAAATGTACCTGCTCTCCTAGAAGCCCCCTTCTCTAACGACATCCAGATTCTGAGCAAGCCAACAGTGCATGCATGAGAATCTTTCATAAAATAGGACTATTTTGTATACCCTTTGCTTTTTTTTATGTTATTTCCCCTCTTCACTCCCCTTGCTTTTATCTTACCATACACATTTGTCACCTCCCTGTCTGGAAAGCCTAGTGTCAGCTCCCTGCCTCTTCACAACTTACAGGATTGAGTCCAAACTTGCCAGCTTGGCCTTTCATGGAGTGCAGGTTTAGTACAGGACTGCCAAACACAGTGTCAGAATGAACCATTCTCCTGGCCTTTACCATTGCAAATATTTCTCTTTATTTTATTTTATTTTATTTAGGGAGAGCCGGTATTTCATGAGTTGATGAACTACTTTTCTTACAAACTTGAGAATTCGTATTTTTGTTCAAAATTAGTTTTTACATTTTGTTTAGAGCCTGTTAAAGATTGAGGTCCTCTCTCTGCCCCTTCTACTGCTAACCAAACCCAATAGACACATGTGAGCAAGTTGTCGCCTGACCCCAAGCTCCAGCCCCTGGAACCATCTGACACAAAATGCGTCCTTGTGTTTTCCAGCAAGGAATTGCCTTGCCTACAAAAATACTCTGTACTTTACTATGCAGATCAATGATTAACAGTGGGCTGTACCTTTCACCAGGTTGTAAAAGGACGACTGGGTAGAGCCACAGCATTCCCTTTGTCAGTGTAGGAAATGCAGAGGAGGATGTTACCTCTGGCCACTTGCCTCTAAGACTCCTAACAAAGATGAGGCAGGCTCCAGCCAGAAGGGTGGGTGACGTGTCCAACTGCCTGAAGGCCACAGGTGAGAGACTCAGGCCCCCTTCCTCTTTTCTCTGTCCGTTCTGATTCTCACCTTTTAATCCCTCTCACCTATGATTGGGAATGGTCAGAGTGGGGGGTGTTTGGGGTATCAATGGTGGTAAAAAGAGTCTTATGGGCAGGGCCATGTTGAATAGGAGATGAGCATGGAGATCACATGTTAGACCCCAGGAGTTCCAGGGAGACAGTGCTGTCCAGTCCTGGGATCGAAGATCAAGAGGGCGGCTCAGTAACACACTGGCCCCATCACGTGACAGACCAGTCCTTGGAGTGAACTGGGAGACAAGGAGGCTGCTTTGGCGTGGAGCTGAGAACATCTCCCGATCTCACTGGAAGGCAGAGAGAAGCTGACAGGGAACCCGCCACAGCCTGTGCCAGGGTGACATCAGGGTGAGTTGAGATGATTTTTTTAACAAACTTCATTTTTTGCAGCAGTCTTAGGTTTACAAAAAAATTGAACAGAAAGTACAGACAGTTCCCATTATACCAGTTTTCCCCCACAGAGTTTCTTCTATTACTAACATCTTACGTTCATGTAGTATATTTATCATGATGAACCAATGTTGATATATCATTATTAACTAACAAGTCTGGAGTTGCATTTGGGTTTACTTTTTGAGTCGTATGGTTCTATGAGTTTTAACAAATGTCGAATGACACTTATCTATCATTACAGCATCATACAGAACAGTTTCACTTCCCTAAAATCACTCTCCCTTCCTTTCTGCAAATCCCTGACAACTGCTGATTTTTTTTACTGTCTCTATACTTGTGCCTTTTCTGAAATGTCTTATACTTGGAATCATGCAGAATGTAGTCGTTTCTGACTGCGTCTTTCACTTAGGAATATGCATTTAAGGTCCTTCCATGTCTTTCCAGGGCTTGGTAGCTTCTGTCTTTTTAGCACTTAGTAATACTCCATTATATGGTGTACTGCAGTCTGTTTATCCATTTGTGCAGACTTTCCATCAAGATAGAGGGCATAAGCAATGGAAAGGGTGGATGAAGGGAAAATGGCAAGGAACATAGGATGAAACAGAAGCAAGAGGAGGAAGGTTTTGGAGAAGTGGGAAAACAAGCTAGAGAGATGGGCACAGAGGCCTAACCTGGGGTAAGGCAGGGCCTTGTAACCAACGCTCAGTGAGAGAGGCAGCCCCTCACTGACCTGCACCGGGCCTTTCCTGATTTTATAGATAGAGTGTCATGAGGGCAGGAACCATATCAGCTTCATCCTGAGAGCCCAGCACTTTGTAAGCATCTAATAAATGTTTATTACACCAATGAAACCTTCAAAGCCTCTTCTAAACCAGCAAGTTCTCCCAGACACCAGCAGATAAGTGGCCTAGCAGTCCCTGAGCCAGTCATCTAGGGCACGTGTGAGCTACCTGCTTATTTGAACTCTCCATGCCACAGGGCAGCATCAAGCTTGCCTGACACACACCTCCTCATCCAGGAGTGCACCACTTTGCCAGCATCTGTGCCTGGCTTTGGAGATGCTCCATAGACAGAGCCAGAGCCATGCTGCAGGGAAGCAGAAAAAACAAAGGAGTTGCATGCCAATCTAACATGCTAGATGAAAAGAGGCGTTCTTGCCTCAGTAAGAATCCAGCTCTCCATGCACTCATCTTCCAACCCAATCACAAGGCATCAGAATTAGTTCATCTGACCTCTATGTAACAAGAAGAGCAAGCAGGGTGATTTGGGTGCTGTGAGAGGAAGATGAGGCAGCTGTGCCCTCCAGATGTTCACCTTTGGGAGGAGAGAACATCTGTGCAACAATAGCAGTAGCTCCCATGCTCTGATGTGAAAGCCCAGCCTGACGGGTGCAGCTAGCAATCTGGGTGGTCACGGGTAGCTCTCCAGAGGGTCTGACGTAAAGATTGCAGGACCAGCCGGGTGTGGTGGCTCACACCTGTAATCTCAGCACTTTGGGAGGCTGAGGCAGGCGGATCATGAGGTCAGGAGCTCAAGATTAGCCTGGCCAATATGGTGAAACCCCGTCTCTACTAAAAATACAAAAATCAGCCGGGTGTGGTGGCACGCCCTTGTAGTCCCAACTACTTAGGAGGCTGAGGCAGAAGAATCGCTTGAACCCAGGAGGCAGAGGTTGCTGTGAGTCAAGATCATGCCACTGCACTCCAGCCTGGGTTACAAAGCGAGACTCCATCTCAAAAAAAAAAAAAAAAAAAAAAAAAACTGCAGGACTAACAGGAACCTGCCAGTCAGAATTTACTAGCTCATTGGTGCCCTCCAAGCAAAAGAGCTTATCAGTCAGACCTGTGTCTTAAACCAAGGCCTCCCAAGGCATGGTGTCCATTTTACTTTCTCTGGATGAAATGAAGAGGGAGAATGAACCCAGTAAGACAATGGAGTGCTTTGCTTTGGATCTGTTCATAGCCTACCTGTGTTTGTGCTTACACAAGTTGCACAGTCAGCACAAGGGTAGAGAGTTTTTAAGAATTTTTTACCTAAGAGAAAGAATTTGGGGGCTGCTTTGCTCAAAGGCTGTTTTTCAGTCTGGGGCTTATCTAGAGACATACGTCTTGTTCCTTGTCCCCACTGCTGTTTGCATAACTAGCGGAGTTGAGGGTCACTGTAGACAGACACAGATGGTAGAGATGGGGGTGGCTGGGCAAGGAATAGCTGCCTCGACACTTTAAAGTCTCCTAAATGGCTTCTCTGAAAAAGGACGTGTCCACGGAGACAAGGGCCCCATGGTGATTCTGTTGCTCCTAATGTGCCAGGCTTAGACTCTCCAAACCACAGGAAGTGGCCCAACGAGTTCCATGTAACTGCAAATGCAAGCAGGAAAAAACCGTGCTCAAATCTCAGCACAGCATCAGCCTTGGGGACAGCTCGTCTTTCCTAACGCAACAGCATCTGGCTGCTTCTGCTGCACCTGGGTGTCTTCAGGGCAGTTTGTGCACACAGAGGCCCCCACATAGACACAGAGTTCCTACCATTAAGCTCTCCATATCCAAAACCTTCTATGTGAAAGATACAGCATCTGTGTCTCACAAGAATCTATTTTCTTGGGGCATCTGCTATTTGGGAACTAACCAAAACAGAATCACCATCTTGTTTTCTTTCTTTTTGTTTTGTTTTGTTTTGTTTTTGAGACGGAGTTTCACTCACGTTACCCAGGCTGGAGTGCAATGGCGTGATCTCGGCTCACCGCAACCTCCGCCTCCTAGGTTCAGGCAATTCTCCTGCCTCAGCCTCCTGAGTAGCTGGGATTACAGGCACGCACCACCATGCCCAGTTAATTTTTTGTATTTTTAATAGAGACGGGGTTTCACCATGTTGACCAGGATGGTCTCGATCTCTTGACCTCGTGATCCACCCGCCTCGGCCTCCCAAAGTGCTGGGATTACAGGCTTGAGCCACCGCGCCCGGCCCCATCTTGTTTTCTTGCTCATTTGCACTCATGTTTATACATGGAAGAGACTGATCCTGAATATTCAGGGCAACATCCAGCATTTGGTAGCAGTGGAAAGAAAGAGAAGAGAAAGTTCTGGACTGTGTTCCTCTATCTGGGAATGTGACTGTCTCACCTCCCAAATCCTCTCCTCCTCCCGTTCACGCTTTTTCTTCCTGACTTACCGGAACCCTTTTTAGGCTTAGCTCCTTTTATCTTACCCTACACACTTCCTTTCTACCCACCCTGTACTTCTCAGCCATAGACATTGGAGCACATTTAATATGCTGGAGTAGGGCCGGGCACAGTGGCTCACACCTGTAATCCCAGCACTTTGGGGAGGCCAAGGCAGGCAGATCACAAGGTCAGGAGTTTGAGACCATCCTGGCTAACACAGTGAAACCCCGTCTCTACTAAACATACAAAAAATTAGCCAGGCCTGGTGACATGTGCCTGTAGTCCCAGCTACTCGGTAGGCTGAAGCAGGAGAATTGCTTCAACCCAGGAGGCAAAGGTTGCAGTGAGCCGAGATTGTGCCATTGCACTCCAGCTTGAGCAACAAGAGCAAAACGCCATCTCAAAAATAAATAAATAAATAAGCTGGAGTCCTTAGGGAATGAAGAGGTGGGGGAGAGAGGAGGGCACAGAGCTGAGGATGGCATGCAGAGGTTGGCACTAGCTCATTGACAAGAAGCCCCGAATTTCCAGGGGCATTAAAGAACAGGTGCTCATGACAAAGGGCAGAGCCGTGCCCTTATTGTTTGTAGTGTTGAACTATGTGTCATTTGTTCACTCATGTATTCTCTCAACATTGGAATTGAGCACCAATTACTTAACAAGGTAGGCCTTGGCAGTACAAAGATGAATGAAACATAGCCTTTATCCCCAAGAAGTTTGTGGGTGTGACAGGCACATGGACCAATGATGGTAATGTCAAGCGTGATAAAGTCGATGGTTCTGAGGGACACTCGGACCATGGGCCTGCATGAGAGGGCCTGGAACTCAACTGGACTGATCTAGGAAGAATTCCTCTGGAGTTAATGCCTGAACATGAAGGTAGAAATGGAAGGAGAAGGGCTCTGGGTAGTGTGTTCCTGGCAGAAGGAACCCACTGCAAGGGCAGAGGCACTGAGGAAGCATGGTGGTCACTGGAAAACAGGGGTTCAAGTAGCTGGAACCCCAATGGTACAGCCTAGGGAGAAGTGAGACCGAGGTTGGGTGGGAGCAGAACCAAGTCTCTGTATCCAAACCTTTCTATGTGAAAGATGCAGTGTCTGCGTCTCACAAGGATCTGTTTTCTTGGGGTGTCTGTTATTTGAGAAGAACAGAATTTCCAAAGATGGACTTTGAGGGCAGTTTGCAAGGCTGAGACTATGAACTATGGAAGGTCTGTCAGCAGAAGAGTTGGATGATTTGATCTGCATTGGCAGAAGGAAAGTTCTGGCTGAAATGTGCAGAGCAGTTTGGAGGGGACAAGATAGAAGACATAGAAAACACTTAGGAGGCTGTTAGAATAAAATAGGCTGGAAATGACGTTCCTCAGAAGTTTTTCTCCCTGCACACACACCTGGCCACCTCAGACTCCCTGTTCGAGGGGAAGGCAGACTGAGGAGAGAGCCTTCTTGAAAATAACACATCTGTTAATTGCATCATTTCTGTGTGGTCAATGTCTACAGAGGCTTTGTTTTGGTCACCATAGTGTAAAATCCCCATCATGTCAATATTTCCTCCTGATAAAAGCTCACTGTGTGTTTATTACTCTACCAGCTTCCTTACAGTATTTGCTCATCACCAGGTTTAAGGACCCAGCTGTGTGGCTCTTCCCCAGAGCCTCTGTTGGAAAGAAGATTCCTCTTTGGTTAGAAGTAGATTTATAGTGGCCAAGATGCTCTAGCACGGTGCAGCAGAATAAGACGGGCTCACTAGGGAGAGATCATTGACCCCTAAAGAGTGCACTTACTTTTTTTTGATT